TAACAATGTGAGTTTTTATTTTCATTTTTTTGCATATGTAGAATATATATGTTGATTCCATCCTAAATTTTTTTTTGGGACTTTTACACTAAGACCCCTTGTGTTTCGATTCCTGGCTCCGCCACTGATCACAGGGCCCTTAAAATCTCAGGACAGATGTCATTGTGTTATTGACTAGTGTTATTCCCGTTACTAGTAAGTTTTTGTGCTGAACTAGACCTCCTTGTGGCTAGCTAGGCCAACTGAACCATCGTCCAGGTTTGAGTCAATGATGTGATTGTATACATTTGTGATTGTCACAGGGCCCTTAAAATCTCAAGATAGACCCTAGTGTCATTGTGTTATTGACTAGTGTTATTCCCATTACGAGTAAGTTATTTTGCGAACTAGACTCCTCGTGGCTAGCTAAGCCAACTGAACCATCGTCTGATAGGAGTGCCACCAATTTGCAGTCTAACTTAATTATAATAAAAATATACAGTTTTTTAGAATTTTTTAAAAATGATAAATAAATAGTATATGAATGAAGATCAATTGATCTATAAATAGTATTTGCATTGGATGCAAGAAATTTGCCTATTAGTGATACCAAAACAAATAATTCAGACAACGGTTTTAAGGTAAGAAGATTCCAGCATATAATAAGGGAGAAACGCACAAGAGTTCAAAAGAAGGATAAAAATAAAAGGAATGGTGTTAAATATCATTTTTATGTCAAAACACAAAATAAAATCCCTAAACCCTAAATAAACATACACTTAAACCTCATTCCCTCCTGCAACTGTGCTACCACTCAACTAAGAATTTCACGTTAAATACGAAAAATATAATCTACAACTAAAATAATTCTCCTAAAGAAAATTACATCCTGCAATAAAGGTCAAAATTGTAACCATTGGATAATTAGAGTCTCAGCATAACGAGGCTAAAATTACTGTGATTGAAGAGGACAACCATAGCCATCTAGTCGAGTTAAAAATGCCATTCAACCGGACACACTTTTCTCTTGTCAGAGAACATCCTTTCAGACAGTCTATTAGTAATTTGGCCGCTCTTGCTAGTGCCGTTCACAGCTTTCCTTTCGATGGACCTCGGCATGATCCTGATTGGTATTCCACCCAAATCAAAGTCTTCTTTCAAAGACCTTTTTAGGAACCTGATGTCTGTTTCTGAGAGCTCTTTCTTCCCACTCACAAAGGCAACAAAAGTGGGTGGTCGGGCCTTCACCTGTGTAAAATACTTAACCTTGGGTTGAGCAGCCTGATCTTTCCAAGAATGCCTGCTCATAACCTGATAAAACACAGGAAAAGACAGAGAAGGTTACTTCCAAATGACTTTTATGAGGTTGATGGTTGAAACACAAAAGGTATCATCAACTGACCTTACGCAACCAACGATTAAGACGAGCTGTTGACAATCTTGAACACCATTTTTCATATGTATCAATAACCTGGTGCATGACAGCTGCATGACCCCTTCCCTCCAACGCTGATATGAATACAATTGGTATCCCAGTCACCTGTTTGCAACAACCAAGCTAGTAAACTACCATTTTTACCATTGCTCAAAACACATTATTGCAGATAGAGCTCGGAGCCCCCCTTCCCCAACCTTCTGTCTTTTGCAGATACCCGCCCGAAATAAAAATGACCTCATCAACCAAGATACTTTGTGGCATCGAATAATTAACCCAAACTTTTGTGGCATCAAATAATTAACCCATACTTTGTGACCTCATAGTATCTTATATCATTATTTTTTTGGTCAGAACAAAAACCCCATATTAACTCGGGTAGCCGAGGACAAGCATATGAAAAACGCTTCAGGCTTTTGTACTTTTTATGAAAAGTATGTTAAATATGCGTGAGTAGTGAAGATAATAACAAGCAGGAGCATTCTTTACATTTATTTTAAGAAAATAGTACACAGGCATACCTGGGGCATAATGGTCTGAATTTCTTGGGGCACAGCTTCCATAACCTTGTCATATAATTGCTTCCCTCTTAATAGATCCATCTTGTTCACAACTACAACCAAGCCACGGCCTTCTTCAACTGCCTGTCTTGCTATAACTACTTCATCATGCTTCAAACTTCTTCTAGAATTTGCAATCTGGTCATTACATAAAATGTTGCAATAAAGAAATCCATTAAATATGGAGAAGAAAACAAAAACACTGTTGCAGGTTATAAAATTTCTAGGGCATATATCACTATTATAATATGGTCAAGAAGTTTTTTTGTATTCATTAAGGATTCACTATTATAATAGGGTTAAAATGCTCTCGGGTCAATTTAAGAGTATTTGCACCCTAGATTGCAAATAACATTAATGGGGCATATATGCTGCGATCCACCAATGCACTAATCATTTTCATCACACTGAGCAAGACAATAACATTAAACCTAATAAAACCTCACCGCAATATTACCGAAGAGGCGCATCAGTTCATGAAATGGGAAAAGAAGTAGATGACGCACATTAAAATTGTTTTACAAATATAGATTAGGATCAATACCTTTGTGGCCCAAAGTTAGTTCATAGTACAAAAGTAACATTTGCATCGAGCAACAAATGACAATAAAACTCTTTTAGTAGAACAAGTTCTTTTTTCTAATAGCAAATCTCACACGGAATTTAATCATTCAAGCATCATAATATAAGAAAGGAATTATCAATGGGTTGACCTGTGCACATAAGGTGTCATGTTTCGTCTTTTTATTTTTATTTTTATAAGAAACCATAATTTTTTATAAAAAAAACCAAGAAAGTACACTAAACCTTAAACAAGAAAGTACATGTCGGTGAACCAGAGTTCCACCAAATATACAACAATCAGAATCTTGCAACTAAGACACCTCCCTATCACATTTCACTTGAAAAACTATCTCTAATATACTACTGCTTTCCTATCCAAATATATTAAATAAAAGGTATAATCCCTAAACTTTGAAGACGTTGATGCCCATAAGGATCCCATAACGGAACTATCTCATCACCCTTAACATTATAAAAATAAAAATAAAAAACTCTCATATTCCTTTCCATCCACACTACCCAAAAAACTGCCAACAGAGCACATTTTCCCAGAACTTCTATGCTTTTCTTTCCTCCGAATAAATTAAACCTCTCTCCAAACAATGCACTGCATGAAGCATCAAACAGAGACAGACTCCCTTTGCTGGGTCCCAACCATTCTCAAGCAGCCCATATTTACTCCGGATTACAGCATATCATAGGGAGTCTGTCTCTTTTTGAACCTCTACAACCACTTACCAGCAAAGCCTCATATTTCATCATTAACACTACTGTACACACTTGAGACCTTTTTCTTTCCATCTTAGATAATTTTGCCATTTTCACCAGTAGACATCTAAATATATCACACACTATCAAATTTTTGTCAAAGAAAACATATTGTATGACACACCTCTTCTGCATCAAGGACCAGAGCGATTACATGAGCTCTCATTAGACTCTTTCTTGTCTGCACAATGCTCAAGGATGCTGGTCCTTTCTCCATTTTTGTTCTCTGCAACCAACCTGCAGTGTCGACCTGAATTTAGCCACAATAAAATCAAATAAATCAAGCAATATACATGAAACTTGAGAAGATGAAAAAAAAAAAAAAAAAACATAATACAAAAGATATAATTAAATTTAGAAAGTGCAACTGGCAAACTTTATCAAGATGTGTCACGTTTGGTAATGAATATACATTAAATATGCCAAGAAGGATACAAATCTTGTACTCAAGATAGAGATCAAAAGTGAGGGGTAGTGGTTGTTACAACCAACAGAACTCTAATCCGGCTCTGCACATATTTCTTGCATGTGTTATGCCCATGCCCCTTCCCATGCAAAATATTTCTTCTAATCCATAAAAAGCTACATTATTCATTTTTGAAACCAGGAAATGCTTGAAAGAAATATCTTCGAAATTTTCACATTCCTAAAGCACCTATTGATTTCTCTAGCCAAGAATTAGAAAGTTATAAAATTAATAATCTCACTCAGGCCCTGCACTAACAAAGAAGCGCACCTATGAATCTTGTTCAAGGACACTATAACGAAATGGAATCAACTATATTTGTGAAGAAATCTAATAGCATACGATTTTGATATATATGATAAAGTTGAAGCTCAGATGGAATACAATCTCTGACATATATAAGACAAGGTTATAAAGAGCATGACATGAGAATAACGAAAACTACAGATGAATGATTAGAATATAAACAAAGGCAATAAATTAACTGTTAACCTGAGTGTGAGAGTTTAGACTCCAATAAGCATAATACTTCTCTAGATAATTGGAAAGGTGGAAGAGGGATGGTGCAATCAAATAACCTTGTATGACTGTAAAAAAGGGAAGAAAAAAAAAAAACAACACGAAACAAATAATATAACATGTACCAGGTATATCGTTCTCCCTTGAAATTCAAACTGAGCTCTAATTGAATCTCTTGTCAAACCGGCTTCTGGACCCACCAGCACCCGTTCTTCTTGTAGCAATGTATTCAGCAAGGTTGACTTCCCAACATTGGGTCTTCCTACAATTGCTAACTGTAATTGCAACTTACTATCCTCAAGCTCACAGGAGCTGCCGTCCTCACTGAAATTAGTCTCTTCAGTGCCTTGTTCATCTAGGATCAGGAAAGAAGGGGAAAAAAAGGGCTATCAACTATGTTAGCATAAAAATTGACCATGTCATCAAGAAAGCAATAAAAGAATATGATGATGCCATTAAAGAGCAGCTTGTTTGCAGTTTAAAACTATACATAAAATATTTACTAGGGTATAAACTTACAGTATCCAAAATATGAGATAGTAGTTTGTTGATATTGGACTAAGTAGTCATCATTACAGTACTATTCCATCAAACATATTTAAAGATAAATAAAACAGCAGCCAAAGATTCAGGTCCAACAAACTAAACAGAGTAAGATTGTTGGGTATCAATGTGAAAGCATTTTTAAGGATATTCTTTTCACTGTAATTATGCTAGATATGGGGAGGGGGAGGGATTAGTTTTGAGATAAAGGAAGGTATTCTTCTTGTGTATGATATTTTGGTAGATTTGTTTTTTATGAACATCTTTCCAATCCTCTTTGCCCTTGCACTTTTTAATGAAAGTTGTTTCTCACTAAAAAAGAAAATCAGAAAGTAAGCAGTGTTGCTATACATAGAGCAATAATTTGACATGCTTAGATGTGTGAACACTACCATTGCAATCCCAATCCAAGTTTTAAAGAGGCATGATAATCTTCATTAATTTTCTCTAAAGAGTAAATATGGTTGCACAGTGCAAGCTTGCTAAGAGCGATAGAGATTAGAAGAATATATAATGTTTCAAAAAGTTCATCTACATCATGGACTGCATGGAATAAATACTTTATTGCAACAAAAAAAAAAAAAAAAAAAAAAAAGCATAAAAATTTCCTTACTGTTTAATACTTGGAGCATATAGTCCTCAAGCTTAGGCTTTAGACTCCCATAGAGATCTTGCATACCTAGCCCAGTCTCAGCTGATATGGCAATAGGGTCACCAAATCCTAACCTATAAGTTTCAGCAGCAGCTGCCATAAGAGAGCCACTACCATCAAGAAGTGATTCGGATTTATTCATGGCAACTACAAGATTGGTTCCAGGTGCATGTTTGCGCAACCACCTTCCAACCTCCAGATCAAGGGGGTGCAGTCCAGCTCTAATCACAAGATAACACCAAAAGACTAAATGAACGTTTCTGTCAAAAGGAAAAGATAAACTGGAGGGATTGGGTGTTGTGGTGGGTGGTAGCACTCAAGTAATTCTTTCAAATTACAACAGTGAACTACAAAATTTAAATAGAAAGGCTATAAAATAAAACCCCCTGGTCAACCAAATGTGACTTATCTACTAGATCACATAATATAAGGCTTCTTATTCACAGCCAATAATCCCATGTAGAAAAGCTTTGTTTGGTCAACTTAAAAACTTGCACGGTGTTGCTAGAAAAACTCTTTTAATTTTTACATAAGTAAAGACATGCTAGCCTTCATGTAATGATAATAACTAACCTCACATCTATTAGGAAAACAGCAAACTGACATCTTGCAAGAACACTTGCAGTCATTCCTGATGTTCTGTCAAGAATAGACCCAGAAGATGCTGCCGTTTCTAAGCCAGCCGAGTCCAAAACTTTAAATCGTAGATCACCCAATTTTGCAATGCCTTCTCTTATGTCACGAGTAACATGATCATATGGTGTATTGTAGACAAGAGCCTCCCGCCTCCGGATTAAACTACAATAAAATTTTAAAAAATTAGAAAACAAGGCTGAGAATATTACAAGTTACAACCTCTACGCCAATATAAGTAAAACCAAATTTTGGAAAATACACATAGAATACTAATTTCAAAAAATAGCATAATGAGAGAAGGAAAAAAAAAAAAAAAAACAACAACAACAACATCTAGAGGAAAAACTGACCGATTAAACAAAGCTGACTTGCCCACATTTGGACGCCCAATAAGAACTACAGTTGGAAGCAGATTCTTGTTCACTTTGGTGAAATCCACTGGTGTTTGGTAGACCCTCCTAATTGTCTTGGTAGTAACATCCCCATCAGAATCAACATGGGATTCCTCCAAATGACCAATTGCATCATTGGACGAATCAGAATCAGACAGTTCATTAGTGGGTAGCGTGCAAAGTTCCCCTGTAGCCTGAAGGATACAAGGATGCAAGATTGAGATTGACCTCCACTGAACCCAACCCAAGGATGGTATACGAATCCGATTTAAAAAGGCAGTGGTAAACGATCCTGAAAGAAAACAATCATCAAGCACATATATTTGCATCTACTCTTGGAAATTAAACAGAGACGACATACAGAGTTGATAGCATGGAAAAAAAAATCTTACCAAATTTAGTTGGGTGCCTGTGTCTCTCTGCGTACAAGTTGGGGACCAAGTTAGTGTTACTCTTAAGTGGATTATGGGGGAGGCCTAAACCAAACTTCTTCTTCCGAGCTGGAAGTGAACGAATGCATGAATGAGACATACCCACCAAGCATTGGGTGCCCTATGACCTAACCTGGAATGTTGAAGGCAATTGATGCAAATTCAAACCAAAAAATCTAGAATTTTTTTTGTTAAAATATGCAATTAAGTTAAATTAAGAGGAAGTTAAACCTTAATTGGAACACACATCCACTGACCCAGCCACTAAATCAATACCCAAAACCCATATAATATGAAAAAACATCTTACTTACATATATATAAGCTTTAAGAAGGCTGGCCACTAATAGCCCTAGCCACAGACTATTATGCAATTAAATATATTCTATATGCAAGTGTGCCGTCGCACACCACATACAGGCACCTATTATTATGCAATTACAAATTTTGCAGTTAATCATGTCCAATTAATATAAGCGGCAGGTTGGAAGAATATCAAAATGCAGGTTTCAAGAGGCCAAATCAATGCATGTCTTCATTTTCTACGAAGAAAAACCATGCCTAATTCGCTCATCCCCCAACGAATTTCGATCTGGTACCCAATCGCGGTACGGTATCGATCTGAAACGAAAAGATTTAACGACTCAGTTCCAGAGGAGGGAACAGTACCTGATAGAAGACGTCGCTGCTACAAAACAGTACCTGACCGCCGACAGCAGACGAGCAATCAAGGGCACATGAGGGAGAGTGCTACAGCTGATGAGCCCACGTTTGATTCTTGGTCCCTTGGAAGATAATGGGTTCGGAGAGGATTTTTTCGGACGAATAGACTCCAAGAGGTGGGATGTAGGATAAATGGATGGATCGCTCAGTGGATAGGGGTAAGAGCAGTTTAGCGGACAGCCCAGCCCAGGCGAAAGGCCCTGGTCTCCAAAAATCAGCTCCAGCGGTGACATCCAGCCCGGCAAGGCCCAAGGCAAGATAGGCACTGACATCAGCGAAGAAAAAAATGTTTTTAAAAAATTGAAAACAATTACCAAAAAATTCAACCAAAAAAAAAATTATACAGCAAATTTTTATTTATTAATCTCATATATATAAATAAAATTAATCCCATATGAATTGTAATTGCCCTTGAATTACCATGGTAATGAGTAGAAAAGTACAAAAAAAAAATTCTAGAGTACATACTATTCAAGTAAACTATAACTGTCTTTACTTGTATTTGCTCTTTGCCATGGCAAATGGGTGGAAGTACTCTAAGAAGGAACGTACTAGAGATTGGGTGGGTGGGTGTGTCAATATAATAAAAGTGCGCATTCTGATTTCAAGAATTCAATCATGTTCTCTTGGACACTATGGTCCAAGGAAATTGGGTGGGTCTATCAATATATTAAAACTAATTTTTTTTTAAAAGTTTAATATTAGAGATGAAAAACATGAACAAAAAACTTGTCCGCATCTAAGACCGTCGTCTCCAACGCCAATCATCTTTCTACTTTACGCCTTGTGAATAAGAAAACATGAACCTTTCATGAAAATACAACATAGTCGTAGAAACCCAAGTCTGGGTTCATGAACTAAAGAAAAAAAAACATCAAAATTTGTTTGTCAAAAATTGAAGTTTTCCTAAACTGAGTTCATGAATCATTCAAATCTAACATTTATAAACAGAAAATTGATCACAAAGGCAGAAAACAACCGGAAAGTGACTTGGTTGTGGGCCCTTGAAATTCAATCACGTTAAAGTGTGAAGGGATAGCTTGATGGCTCCGAATTTGGATCAATAAATTTTATTTTGTTTGTGAAAAAATTGAATATTTGAAACTAAATGAAGAGATGAAATAGATAACCAATAAGAATTAGAGTGAATCTTAAACGACACATGTTCTTGATTTTTGTCTACAATGCTAAAGTTGAAGGTAGCTGTTGGAGCAGGATTTCTTTCAAGAAGAAATACCTCCACAGGTTCATGACTGAAGCTCACACGCTTCCTTGGTTGAAAGAGAACTCTGAATTACGTTCTCGTGGTCGAACGGTGGAAATGGGGTGAGTACCTGCAAAAGACACTCCGACGCTCAAGTCAGTGTTTGTGCAGCGTACTCTTAGTGTTCAATTGAGTTTCTTGTACCTTGGTTGGAGGTCTAGCCGAGTTTTTATAGCGCTTCGAGTTCTTGGGTTTAGCCCCACTTCCCTAGCTTTGCGCATCCCGTCTTCCACTTCATGGTAGTGGGATCAGATTAGCGGTTTGCGTCTCCCTCGCTCTGCACTTCTCTAGTGGGAGGGAAGTTCGATCATTCCACGTCTTTTAGTTGTGGCATATGGGTTAACCCATGATACGTGAGATTTGGTCCCCACAGTGCCCCCCTTTTTTCCTCTCTACACGCTTCGCGAGTGGAGAGGGAAAAATGATCTAAGTAGGACTTTGGAACAGGATTTCTTCGGATTGAGCGCATGTCATCCTGATGGGCTCATGGCTGAGCCCAAATAAGCCATACCTTTTTCCCTTGGCCTATCGCCGACCTATGCATGTTGTTTTCACACCTTGCATGTGAAATATTCAAATATGAATTTTCATGCACGTTGCTAACTTTTCAAGTTCCAACTGTGAAGTGTTATCCCTATGTAGAGTATCCAAGTGTGGACAGCCGATCCCATGCGCAAGTGGACCCTTTTATTTATTTTGAATTTCTGCACCTCTACCGATCCGATGGGCCCATGCGCATTTTCCTCTTTGCTAACCGACCCCCGTTGGGGTGCGCTTGGCTTCAAGCTTTTGCCAATTCGGTGGGCCCCATGATCCTTGATTTTTCTTTGCTAGCCGATCCCAACTCTAATCGGGGTGCGCTTGGTTTTGAGCCTTTGCCAATCTGGTGGGTCCCATGTCTCTAGGTTTCTCTTTGCTAGCCGATCCCAACCCCAGTTAGGGTGCGCTTGGTTTTGAGCCTTTGCCAATCTGGTAGGTCCCATGTCTCTAGGTTTCTCTTTGCTAGCTGATCCCAACCCCAATTGGGGTGCGCTTAGTTTTGAGCTTTTACCAATCCGGTGGGTCCCATGTCTCTTGGTTAGTCAATCCCAAATGGATTCCAATACCTCTGAGCTGTCTTTCCAAACTCATACGCCTTTGGTTTTTCAACTGATCCAAGGTGTTAATGCCCTTTTTTTTCTTCTCTTTTTTTATTGCACTTGAGCCATCCACGCAGACCCCAAAACCCCTTAGCTGTCCTTTCAGACCCATGTGCCTTCGATTTCTCAATTGATCCGAGGTGTTCACGAACTTTTTTTTTTTTTCTTCTTTCCTTTTTTTCCTTTTTCTTTGAGCTTGAGTTGTCCACGCGGACCCCAAAACCCCTTAATTGTCCTTCCGGACTTGTGTGCCTTCGGTTTCTCAACCGATCCAAGGTGTTCACAGACTTTTTTTTTTTTTAGTTGACCTTTTGGACTCCATATGCCCTCAGTTTCTCCTTTTTGTTTTCATCGACTCCCAAACGGTCCACGATCTAGTCTTTGCATGAGGGGGTGAACAAGCCTAGCTCCGTAGGTGTACTTACTACCTTGCATCACTTATTGCTTACATCTGTTGCTCTTATTTTATCTTTTGTTGAAGCGCATGCAGCTTTCTATTAGGGAAACGCATGCGTTGGATAGAAATAATTTCGATTAGTCATATCAGACCAGGCTTTGTTGCCAGAACCTAAGGCAAATATCCGAGCCGGCCACACCGAACCTTATCTTTGCTTTTGAAAAACTTCTTCCCGTGACTTTTGTGAATTATTTTCCCAATCTTTGCCCTCTGTTATAAAAGGTTGGTCGATAGAGATACACTCATTTGTAAAACCGTTTATACTTTGTTTTTGTTCTTCATATGTAAGTTTTAGGCGCAAAGGGAGAGGAAAGTGTTCTGTGCGTTTGAGAACTCCGCCGAAGGATTTTGGTTCTTGCCACCACCTAGTAATTACTATTTTCATCTTTGCTATTTTCATGTCGAGCCACGAGATTTGGCCTAAGTCTGGTAGTGTCCCACCAAGCTACGAGATACTTAAGGCTCGCACTAAAGGATGTGTTCCCAACAACATGGGGATTAATCCTCTGCCTTTGGGGTCGGATATATACACTGGTGTCAGTATCCCTTGGGGTTCCTTTATTCTCTCACTGGCCCACTTAGAGCATGTTAGGTTTCCACTCTATCCCCTCTTTCATATGCTCATGTTCTTCTTGGGCCTTTACCCCATGCAACTAAACCCGAATTCTTACCTTCTCATATCTGGGTTTCTAGCCTTCGGTTTGAAATGGGGTGTGTCCCTTAGCTTTAAAGATTTCATTTACCTCTACGACTTGGCTTGTGTTAGGGGGGAAAGTCACTATTTCTTTTTTACGTCTGGGTCTGGTAAAAGGTAATTTACTTGTAAGTCCACTTCCACCAGGTACTGGAAAAACCAACCTCTCTTAATCACTAGGGAGTGGGTCACGCCTGAGATGTTTAACATGCATATCCTGTGGGTGTTTAGCCCAAAACCTGGTATACATATTTATGTATTTTAAATAAAACTTATTGTGTTTTTTAAGATCTAACTAACCTCTTTTTTTGATGTACTTCCTTCGGACAAAAGGTATCTCCTTCCTGAGAACCGGATCGCTTGGTTGGAGGAGAACTTGGCTGGTCGAGGGTGGGATATCACACACTTCCTTGATCCTACTACTCTCATTTGTCTCTCCACAACTCGTAGTTTGGCGACTTATCTCCCGTTCATTTTGGCTAATCCAAACCTGCATGAAATAGTCTTGTTCAAAGACATTGTTCTGTTGACGTTGAGCTTTGTTGCATCGAGGATTCAGCGTCTCTTATCCAAGCTAGCTTTCAAGAAAAGGAGGCTGAGTTAGCTCAACACAGCAGCTCCGAGGACTACGTATCCGGGTCTGAGTCTGATCAGTCAGATATGTCAGCGTCACGCTCATTGTCAATCCCTGGTCGTAGGAAAAGGAGACCGGAAAAAGAGCCCTAGACCTCCGGGTATGCGAAGAAGTCCCGCTATGCTTCACAGGTCATTTTGGGTTTGAGCTCACCCAATGTATCCGCTTCGAGTACTCCGTCCCGACCTCAGCAAGACCCTCGTGGCCCCATTCTTGCTAGCTCACTAGGCGAGAACGACTTCACAACCATGACTGATGAACAGATGTGGGGCTACCAATCACAGTGCTTGAACGCAGTACGTTTGGGATTTGCACTAGTGTAATCCAATTGTCATGTCCTATCATAGTTGCCTGTTTAATGCTCACTTTTTATTTATCGCATATGGTTGGAATTTATAACGCGCAAATGGTGAGGTTTCAGGCTATGAGCCGGGAGATATGCGAAAAGACGGTAACCCTCGAACTTAGCGGGAATCGCATCAAGGAATGTGAGACTGAGTTCGAACAGTAGCGGGATGAACTGCGAAACCTGAGAAGTGGCCAAAGCACTATACAGATGGAGGTTGACCTCCTTAAGCAAGAACTGGTGGATGCCGCATGTAATATGGACGAGGAGTATCAAGCAAACACCAAGCAGATAAGTGTCGAGATGGCCAAACAATTCAGATACGGTTGGGTTCAAGGTTAATAGCTCCTTGAGCATTGGTTTGTGGCCGGCCTAGATGATTATGACGATGAGTTGGAATTTGACCTCACTGGCCAAGAACTTTTTCAGGGTATGCACCCTGATGATCATCCTCCGACGGGTTACATCCCTCATCGCAAGATCCCATCAGCAGCCTTTCATGGGCCAACCCCTTCTGGGTCAGTTGGGACCGTTGTCCCTAGTGCTAATATTGCATCGTCTATTGCCAGTACTGGACTTGTCCTTAGATTTACGGGCTTCACCTCACCTGTTGGATTTTCCACTTGTGCTAGGCCTACCTCGGAGGTCATTCCTGACTCATTTGATGACACGCCTTAGGTTGCTTTGTTTCGTTCACTACTTCTTGTATTTTCTTTTCGATTTTGTCTTTGTTTGGATATATTCAATCATCTTGGGTCTGTTCCCATAATTTCTAACTTATTTTATCAGACTTTATGAGTTATCCACTTAATTTGAATTTTAACCCTAACGTAAATACCTGAGGCTTAACGTGATGGTTTTTCAAACCTGCCCAAGATCTTTTTAGGATGAATCGCCATTTTCAAATTCAAAAAGCAAGGATTGGATATCCCATCATCTCCACATTACGCCCTTATCAGGCGTTCCTTCATGAGCTATATCTCTGAGTAAACCTCTATATAAAGGGTAATTTGATTTTTAGGTGAACATACCTATCCCACTCATGGCTCAAAGATGCAAGCTAAAACTCTCATTCCTCCTTTGCGCAGATGTTCCGAAGAAAGGAGATTCTCCGAGGAGGAGGACTTCGTCTCTGTCACGGAGGGAGTCCTCGCAACGAGATTCCAAGAGCCTTAATGGAATCATTGAGATATGTTCTCAGGATTTTTCTGTATACTCTCCGGCAAATGCTTCAAATTACTCAGCGGTCCCTGATTCACTTCGTGGGTCTAGGTTCCAGTGTGGTGATGCCAGAGGTGGAGGCAAGGCTACCATGAGAAAGAGCATTCCAAGGGCGCGGGATGAAGCTGGTCCGTCTCGTGTTCCTCGCTGCTCCTATCACTTCAACCATAACATATTGCTGATGGAACGTGACTTACTCAAGGAGGATCTGACATGTGTTAGTGCCCAAGTGACTCGTCTCCAGAGTGATCTTGCTTATACAGATCGCGCCGTGTCCGCTGCTCATTCTGATGGCATACGTGACGGATTTAGATAGGGTATCCACCACTTCTGTACCAAGGCCAAAATGGTTTATCCTTACGTGGATTGGGATCATCTCCCCTTGCCATCAGACTAGCTCATGTTACTTATGGGTTCACACCTGTAGAATTAATAGTTTTATGTACTTTCCAGCTTTGAATAATTCGGAGGCCTTTCTCCTATAAACATATCATGTTTTTCCTTTTATGGCCATAAGGGCCTAATGTTATTGTTATATTTAATCATGTGGTCTTCGACCTTCTCACATGCGTATTATTATTTATGTTGCTTGATCTCTAACCACGTCATGGTCCCTGATCATGTCGTAATCTCTGATCACTTCTTTTTGCGCAATCTCCATTCGCTTCTTCATGCGTGATCTTCGACCACGTCTTGATTGCGATCTTCAATTGCACTTTTTTTGCCTTTTGGCCAAGCACCTTCTGTGCCCATGGATTAGTATATGCATTTTCTTATTTATAAGGTCTTCGACTACGTGGATTCAGATAATGCTAATTTGAACAGACATGGCCTTCGACCAAACATTTTGAATATGAAAAAAACGTGTGTTCCATTAAGCGTTCATCGAACGATAGACAATTTAGGGAAAATTCACAAATGACATAAAGATGAAAGCAACAAAGAAATGAAAACTATAAAATCAAATGAAATACTTCCTCAAATAAATTGCATTCCAAGGCGTGGTACGTATTGATCACTCTCGATATGCCTCAGCATATAGGCTCTTTTTCCATAAGCCTCTGTTACCTCGTACGGTCCTTCCCATGTCTGTCCAAATTTTCATGCGTTTAGGTCCTTGGCATTCTCCATGACCTTTTTGAGTACCTACTCGCATACTTTGAATTTTCTTTCCGTACTCGTTTATTGAAGTAATTGGCTGCCTAATTCTGGTAGTTCGCAAGTCGTAACGCTGCAACTTTTCGTTGTTCTTCAAGCATGTCAAGGTTGTGAGCTATCTGTTGCTCATTATCATTGCTTTCTACCACTAATGTCCTGACTGTGGGTAGTCCAATTTCTGTGGGGATGACAGCTTCAGTTCCATAAGCCAAGGAAAAAGGGTTTTCGCCTGTTGGTTTCTGTTTGGTAGTGCGGTATGCCCATAATACATTTGGCAGTTCCTCTGACCATTTGCCTTTGTGTTGTTCAAGCCTTCTCTTCAATCAATCAAAGATCGTACAATTAGTTTTCTCGGCTTGTATATTTCCTTGAGCATAACTTCGGGATGAGAACTGTTGAATGATCCCTTTTTCCTCAGTAACTTCTGAATTTACGGTTATCGAACTAGGTTCCGTTGTCCGTCACAATGGTCCTTGGTATCCCAAAGCGACAAATTATATTATGCCATACGAATCTTACTACATCTGTTTGGGTCAACGTCTTGTAAGCCTCGGTTTCCACCCATTTGGTGAAGTAGTCAGTAGCCAAAAGGACGAACTTCTTGGCCCCCATTGCGGTGGGAAGTGGTCTCACGTTGTCCATCCCCTAGCGGGCGAATGGCCAAGGCCCTACAACAGGGTTAAGTTCCTCGGCTGGTTGTCTGATAAGGGATACATGCCTTTGACATTTATTGTATTTTCGTGAAAATTGCTCTGCGTCGCGGGCCATGTAAGGCCAAATATATCCTTGGGTCAGCGCTTTGTGGGTTAAGCTCCTCCCACCCGTGTGGTTCCCACATGTCCCTTGGTGTATTTCTTTTAGCACTCATTTGGCTTTACGTGGATCGAGGCATTTGAGATATGGCCCTGAAAAAAGACTTACAAAAAAGTGTATAATCTATAATGGCATACCTTGCGGCCTTTATTGGTAATTTCCTTGCTTCGATCGAGTCATTGGGTTGGGTTCCCTTCGTGAGATAGTTCATGATTAGAGTCATCCACGTTCTTCTTCGGCATCAATCTGCATAACTCTAGGATCAATTGGTATACTGGGACTCAATAAGAGTTCCACCGAGGTGACCCTCGTGTCTTCCACTGATGTTGATGTGGCATGGGCCAAGTGATCTGCCTGAACGTTAATTTCTCTCGGTATTCGTTCAAACTCTATTTGTTCGAACATGTTGGCTAAATCCTTTACCAACCGTTAATATGCCCATATTCGTTCATCCTTAATCGCGTATTCCTCAATTGTCTGGCTGACTATGAGGCGAGAATCGTTATGGACAACTAAGCATTCCACCTTCAGCGTCCTAGCTAGTTGGAGTCCTAACATTAGGGCTTCGTATTCCGCCATGTTGTTTGAAGCGGGGAAGTCTATTCGAATCAGTTGTCTGGCCGACTATGAGGCGAGAATCGTTATGAACAACTAAGCATCCCACCTTCAGCGTCCTAGCTAGTTGGAGTCTTAACACTAGGGCTTCGTATTCCGCCACGTTGTTTGAAGCGGGGAAGTCTATTCGAATGGAGTACTCCAGGTCCACTCCTTCAGGCAACGAGAGGACGATTCCCACTTCGGCTCCTGCCTGATTAGATGATCCGTCTACGTACGATTCCCACTCCCATTCCAGCTCCTGCTTGCTCAAAGGCTTCTCTTTGTTTTGGTCCCCATATGCTTCCATCCTTATTTCGAATTTCCTGGAAGAATGGCTTACAACGATTTGACGATCTTGAAATGAATCAGCTGAAAGCTGCTATTCGCCCAGTCAGAACCTGCACATCTCTAGGTGTTCTTGGATTAGGCATATTCCGCAGCACCTTCACCTTCGATGGGTTGGGCTCAATGCCTCACTTGTTCAGTATTTGCCCCAAGAACTGCCCTGATGAAACACCAAATGCACACTTCTTCGGGTTAAGCCGCATGCAATAACTTCTCAGTATGTTGAAGACTTCTTGGCTCTTAACGACCATGTTATCAATGTAAACCTCCATCGTTTTGTCGATCTGCCATTTGAATATTTTGTTCACTAATCTTTGATACGTCGACCCTGCGTTCTTCAGCCATAATGGCATCACTGTGTAACAATACAAGCCTCGCTCGGTGATAAATGCCGTCTTTTCCTGGTCCTCAATTGCCATTGTAATTTGATTATATCCCAAATAAACGTCCAGGAATGAGAGAAGTTCATACCCGGTAGTAGCATCTACTATTTGATCGATCTTTGGTATCGAATAACAACCTTTTAAGCACACCTTGTTCAGGTTGATGTAGTCTATGCACACACGTCATCTCCCATCCTTTTTACTTACTACCACCACATTCGAGACCCAGGTCGGACACCACACTTCTTGAAGGAATCCTGCCTCGAGCAATCGATCGACTTCAACGCTAATAATTTGGTTCAATTGAGGTGTGAACTTCCTTTGCTTCTGCTGGTGCAGGGGGTGGTTTGGGTTAACATTCAGCCAATGACACCCGATCTTCGGGTCGATCCCCGACATGTCTATATGTGACCACGCGAACACGTCTTTATTCTCTCTTAATAACTTAATTAGTAGTTCTACCTCATCATCAGATAGGAGGGAGCCCACCAACACTTTTCTATCAGAATAAGAAGGATCCAGAACTTCTTTCTTGAGTGGTTCAATATTCGGAAGCTCTAAGTTATCCTCCTCATCTTGTTTTGGTGGGTCCTCTGTTAATTGCTATAAATCCTCGCTTTGCTGCGAAGTTGCAGCCTTAAGGTTAGTTGCTATGTTGTAGCATCTTCTGGCTTCCACTTGATCCCCCTTGTTATCAATTTTGGTTCTCCCATCTTCGGATATGCACCTCATCACCTAGCAACGTGTTGATGCTTCTCCATCCATTCGATGAATCCAATTCCTTCCCATTATAGCATTATATGCGCTCGGCACATCTACAACTACGAAAGTAACGAATATGGTCTTACCTGCGGCAATGACAGGCAGAGTCACGTCTCCGATCGGTTGCACTTTCTTCCATTCAAATGCGTAGATCGGTGTTGGTTTTGGTTGAATCTCCTTTTCATCCAGCTTCATTCTTTTGAATGTGCTTCAGAATAACACGTCTGCGCTACTTCACCCGTCAATCATCACTCTTTTTACCATCGAATTGGCAACGCGGAGGGTCACCATTAATGCGTCGTTGTGAGAGAACTCAATTCTTTCCATGTCTTTCTGAGTCAATGAGATGACTCTAATCTTTTCCAGGGCTCTGGTAGATTTAGAGGCAGATGTGATCTTGTTTATGCGTCTCACCTTTTCAGCTTGTCTTTTTTCAAACCGAGATTGAGCCATTTTCCCTTCCATGGGATTCAATCGACCATGGATGATGTTGATCTCCAATAGCTCTTCATTTGAGACATTTCCGGTCACTGTTTTTTACCCACCCTCTTCACTTGCCCTATTCTCAGGTTCAGCGCGGTACTGGGATAACATTTCATTTCTCAGCATTGCCTCCACATGATACCTGAGACTTCGGCACTCATCAGTAGTGTGTCCAAAGTCGTTATGATTGGCGCACATCTTGTTCCTGTCTTGCTTTTCTGGGAATTCGTGGATTGCAGGTGGTGTTCGAAATATACATTTGCCCTTGTTCTCGTGAAAAAGTTTGGCTAAACTCACCGTGAGCCTAGTGAAAGGTCGGCTTTGCTTAGGTCCGTTGCTAGTTTCTTATCTCGAGGAATATCGATTCGTCTCCACCTTTTGCTCCGGTGGAGGCTTTGGGATCGCAATGGTGGAAGTGGCGCGTTTTGATTGGGTGAGCTCTTCTTCTTCTAGTATGATGATTCCATCCGCTCGAGCCATCACTTCCCTCATATCCACTGGTGGGGTCTTCACTAAAGACCTGTGCATTTTTGTTCTAGGTATGACCCCCTCACGAAACGCTTGCGAAGTAGTATGAGAATCACATTCCTCAAGAGTATACATTTCTTCCGTAAAACACCTCAAGTAGTCTTTAAGGCTTTCTCCAGTACTTTGCTTCGTGCTGAACAATATGGTGACATCTTTTCTCCTATTTTGATTGCAAATGTACTGAGATATGAACATTTCACAGAGTTGGGTGAAACCGCCATTAGACCTTAGTTTCAGCTGTCTAAATCAAATCAGGGCCGATCCTGACAAGCTTGGGGGAACAACTTACATAACAGGGCCTCGTCATCTCCTTCGAGCACCATTTGTTGTTGGAAATGATAGATATGCTCAATGGGAGCAGTCGTGCCCTCGAACAGCTTAAACTTAGGTTGGGTGAACTTAACTGGCTTCTTGGCTTTCAGGATGTCTTCCGTGAATGGCGACTTGCAAATTCCTTTCGCCGCCTCCAAAGCTAGTTCCGCAGGTGTTTGTGGCTTGTACCATCTGACAATCTTCTCGATCTGATTGCACAAATCAGTGTCCTTCGCCATTTTCGCCATTTTATGCAGGTCGAGATCTTTGTCTTGATCTTCTGCAGTGGCCTAGTCACGGATGCTCAAGTGTGTGTTGCTTGAGGAGTCGCCCTCATAGATCTCATGTTTCTACTTCCTCTTGCCCTCTTTTGAGCCCTCACGGCAAACAGTGTTCTGCGCCTTCTCTAGAGCTTTCTCTGCTACCTTTCTTGTTTCGCTTAATTCTTTCATGATTTCCCTCAATTAGATAACAGTAAGGCTTGGTTCTCCATCCTAGGAGTTGGACCTTGCGCTTTCGGGTCGAGAAGTGGACATCGCATTCCCCGGGATGGAGGTGTTTGGAGTTCTCTGTACAGGTTCAATCATATTTATGATCAACTTTGCGAGATTCCCACAGACGGCACCAACTGTTGAAGCAAGATTTCTTTTAAGAAGAAATACCTCCACAGGTTCTTGACTGAAGCTCGTACGCTTCCTTGGTTGGAAGAGAACTCCAGATTACGTTCCCGAGGTTGAACGGTGGAAATAGGGTGAGTACCTGCAAAAGACACTCCGACGCTCAAGTTAGTGTTTGTGCAGCGTACTCTTAGTGTTCAATTGAGTTTCTCATACCTTGGCTGGAGGTCTAGCCGGGTTTTTATAGAGCTTCGAGTTCTTGGGTTTGGCCCCGCTTCCCTAGCTTTGCGCATCTCGTCTTCCACTTCATGATAATGGGATCAGATGAGCGGTTTGCGTCTCCCTCGCTCTGCACTTCTCTAGTGGGAGGGACGTTCGATCATTCCACGTCTTTTAGTTGTGGCATATGGGTTAACTCATGATACGTGAGATTTAGTCCCCACAGTAGCTATGAACGACAATGGAGGAAGAACATGTTCTTGGTTTTCTAAGAGATAGCGTATTTTGGTTGAGTGATTTTTAATTTTTTTTAGTTTTTGTTTTTTTTTAAGTGAAATTAATATTTTGTACACTAAAAGTAATAAAATATAAACATATTGATATTTAAATCAGTTTTTTCTCAACCTTTAGATTAGATCCAAGAGTGAGTGACCAAAATTTTCTTGGACCTTAAGGTCCAAGAGAAAGGGACTATTCAAGAATTGCTAAGGAAGAGTGAAAGTCACGGTTCTTTCAATATATTGAACAAATAAAATACATAACTTATTGAATA